CTAAACCCTAAACCGTGTTTAGGGGAAGCTTCGGGGTTGTCGAGGCCTCCTCCTCCTCCGCCTCTTCCAGCTGGGGAGCAAGGCGGGCAATGTGGGATTTGGTGCTTACTGGTTTGGGAGCTGCGGGCTGGGTTTAGGGTTTAGGGGGATATACAAGGCTGAGAGCAAGAAATGGACTCGCACAGGACTCTCACTAGGCACTGTGCCAGCTTCTGCTCGTTATCCTTGATTCGACGGCTTATCTCCTTTTGGGGGCACTTGCTGCTACTGTATCCTTGATGAAAAGGCTCATGATGCAATAGGCCAATGACACCGACAAGTAATGCATTAAATTTGGCTATAGTCTGCGAGAGATGGATTCCGACACAAGTGGCTTCCAGCGCGACAGCAACTTTTCGAGGGTGTAACATGTGCAAGCCTATGTAGTTGTCGGCTGCATTTGCATGCGGATGCCTTTGGGTAGTTTTCTAAAATAGGGTCCCTTTTTAGGTCCGCAATATAGAAAGGCACCCTTATAAAGAAGGACCCCAAAAGGGACCCTAATTTAGAAAACTACCCATATGCCCTTGACCAAGTGTCGACATGCTCAGCTGGTGAATGGAGGTCCCGTGTCAAGCCTGTTTATTCCTAACGATCACAAGCAGGAATTGATCTTCTCCGGTTGGGTTTAGGGTTTAGGGTTTAGGGTTTAAGGTGGTTCGTGAAAGCGGGGAGTAACACACCTGTGTCCATGGTTTGCTTGAAACCGTGGCTCTTTGCAGCAGGAGGCCAGCAACTTGAGCAACCCTGATAATAGTGAGAACTGCATTTTATTAAGACAGGTGCCCCAGCAGCCGTGTCATACGCAAGCGGTCGCCGCCGAGAGACTTTTCGCCGGAGGAGGGAGTCCGAGCTCGCAGCCATGCCGAAATTCTCCTTGTATGCAAGGCTCCGTGCAGTTGGCGAGGAGACTGGCCAGGACCGGCTGCGCGCGCGGCTCGTGTGGTCCCTCGGCCTCTAGCAGGTTTAGCCACATCAGGTTCGTACCCAGTTTCCGGTGCGCCGTGTGTAGCATCGTAGCTACGGTGGCTGATAAGAATCCGGAGAAGTCCAAGTGATAAGATATTGCAGGATGTGTCATGGTTGCCATCGTTGAGCGAATGTTGCGGGAAAGCTAAGGCTTTTGGTCGTGCTGGAGACGATCTCCATGCTTTGCTTTCCTCAAGTGGCCACCCTGACGCACGGAGCGTTCTTTCTGATCCCGCTGGGGGCGCTCTTGCTAGCTGCCGCTATCCGTCTTTACTCGAGGCCTCGCATCCTTCTGGCTGAGCCACTCTGTGTCGTCTGGCCTGACAACTATTCCCGACATGGCCTTGCCCGTCAGCAGGAACCAAACCTTTGTTTTGTTGGCTTCGTGTGGGTGCTGAAGCTTGTCTGCTGTTTGACTTTCTGGGCGAACCCGGCTGCCATCAGCCTGCTGGAGGACAGTTGCCCTGACTCAGTCCCGCAGCCGAATTGCAGCCACTACGCCCGTCTTGAACCTCCTTTAATATGTATGGCGGTAAATCCAATGGTAGAACCGCCAAATGCCAATCGCCTACACCTTTTGGGGAAAGAAGGCGATGCCTGCTGGGACCAGTGCTCTAGTCCTCGTTGCCGGCCACAGGAGAAGATGAAGTTCGCTGATAGTGACTCATTGGAGGCCGGTTTGTCCTGGAAGTATCTGCACATGCATTGTGACGACCCATGCGATTTATCTTGCTGCCAGTGCCTGCACTGCCACCTATCCTCCACAGTGCCTTCTTGGCTGAAGCAGGGATGCCTTGCTAAAGCGTTCGCGCCAGATCTTGCACAAGAGCTTTACGTGTGTGGAACCAACCCAGGATGCGGATCGAAGCCAATTCCGTACTATGAGGCTCAGACACGGAGCTCCGAAAATACCATGCTCGCAGAACTTTCACGGTGCACCTTGGTCCATGGAGAAGAACCTACTCAAGTCAAGACTGCGGTGGCTGTGGTCGCAGCATTGCAGTGCTTGCCTTTAGCCTCTTTGATCGCCTGCCTCTTGCTCAGCATCTGGGTGCACCTGCAGAAGGGTGGAAGTGCCTCTGTCATGC